GGTGGGTGTTGATTGCAAAGAGGCTGTAGGGAACTTTTAGTTGTGTGGAAATGTTCTATATCTTTATTGTGGTGTATAACAGTGCACACATTTGTCAAAATTCATTTAACTGTACACTTAAGTGGGTACATTTTATTGTTATATTCAAATAAAGTTGAGTTTAAAAGAAAGCAATGCTGATTGGAAGTTATTTGTGGGTGATTGAGGTTTATCTTTTTGTTAGCCTCATTGTTAGGTGGCAACATACTTTTTTTAAAATAAGGGGACCACTAAATGTCACTAGGTCCTCCCAAAACAATATAACTTTTTATGGAAACAATTCCTTTTTTTATGTAGTTGTATCATTGTTTTATGTAAATTCTAATTATATTTTACAATTACTATTATACATGTGAGTGGTATACAACTGAGTTGGGAACTAAAATAGTTGAATCTTAAGCATACAATTCAACCGTTAGAAATTGAAGTGTGAATGAATCCTACAGCATAGCGTATATGCTATAAGCGTTTGTCATTCTCAGGGTATCAGTATGTTTTCCAGAGGAGACTGAGAGTTTCACTTAACCTCATTAGTTAGCTAAGTAGAGTCGGTTACCAGAGCTATGAAATCTAGGTAGCCATGGAACAGTTTGTAACAGGTGAATGCTGGTTTTTGCCACTAGGATGGTGATCCAGGGAAACACTTTTGTCCTGAGATAGATGACTGGTATTGAAGAGAAACAAATATAAAATCTCCTGCCAACCCAGTAACACCTCTCCACAAAATGTAGAAAATAATGAAATAGTATTATTACTGAATGTGTTAAACCAGACTGTGATGCATCATCAAAGGCAATCCCCTAAAGAAGCTGTAAAGACAAAAAAGAAATCTCACCCTTTTATATAGCCAGGCAGATAGAATCCATTATATACATGTTAATTATCTTTATCCAAAGGAAAATAAATAGGAAAAATAAGAAAGGTACTCTTAAGAAAATACGGCACTACCCCTCTTGATGTTCATTTTTCAAAGAGGTGGCTCCTTGGCCCCCGAAAATGACAGTCTTTGAATGCAAAACAGGTGAGAAGCTTACTTATCATTTATATACATCTCGAAGAGGTAGAGATAGCATTTATAATCTCAAATTTTCTGATGAAAATGCTAAAAGAAAAGGGAGGGGGAGAAAAGTTCTTATTTGTACTAGAGAAAATTTTAAATTACATTTCAGATTTGTAGTTACCCTTACAATTTTCTATTTCTGTTACTATTTACTAAAAAAACTACAGTTTTCTAATTATCTACACATTGCCATTTCTGTTTTCTCAAGCAGCAATCTATATAACCATCAAATCAATTAGTAAGATAAAAAACCAAACAAGTTATCAGAACTATAATATAATAAATTAAAAATTATAATACTTGTCTTGGGGACAATTTTGAAATATAACATACCAGTGTTATAACATACCAATGGTGATTGGTTAAAGCAGGTTCTTGTTTAACAATGCACAAAAATTATCCTTCATCATACTTTAATTTTACAAACTATTGTGATATCTTTGTGCTTTCAAAGAATTCACTACTTGAGTATTATTTTGTAATTTTAAAATTATATCCCATCCATGCCTAATGAGTTGTTTAACTGTAGAGCCTGATAATCTAAATTTTTTAAATCTTTTTTTAAGATTTTATTTATTTGTCTTTAGAGGAGGGAAGGAGAGAGGGAGAGAAATATTAATGTATGGTTGATACATTCGTGTGGTGTCTCATGCATCCCCTGCTGGGAACTGGTCCACAACCTAGGCATGTGCCCTGACTGGGAATCAAACCTTGGTTGTTTGGTCCGCAGGACCTCGCTTGGTCCACTGAGCTACACTAGCCAGGGCCTGATAATCTAAATTTTTAACTAAAGTTTTCTTAAGGCCCAATGAGTTTCCCCTCAGTTCTTATCTGTCACAGAAGTAACATTACAATTATAGGATAAACTAGGCCCTTCTGTAATTCTTCCATCTTCCCAAATAATTTCTCCCAGATACAAACACAAAGACACCCCTGGTCATTCTCTAATATCAAAATCCTACTTATGAGGAATCCATTGAAGGGTACATATTGAACTCTAAAAACTTATTGGGAGTACAGAAAGAAAGAGCAGTATAACCATATGTTTGGTTTCTTGTAAAATCTGAATCTTATTGTAACAAATTACTATGATGAATAAGATAACAAGGCAGTCTGAGAATAGTAGTATGTTTTTAAGAATACCTCCTTTCAGCCAAGTTCAGTACCAATAGGTTTACAGTTGTATGTGAAACACAGAATTAATAAAGCTACTCTAATAGTCATAACCTGCATGGGTTTTTTCATATGAAAAACTGTAAACCTACTTTTGCCAGTCCCTGTATATCAGTTATTCTAGAAAATTTAAGCATCAAATCCTTTGGGAACCACAGTTCAGTGCTCCTGAATATGAATCCATCTGGGTATTCTTTCACTTTCATATGATCAGCAGCACTTGAAGTGGTCTCTCTGCATAGTGACAGCTCGTCTTTCCTCTAAGCCAGTTTTATGTAAAATAAATGGTCTGGTTTGATAGGTGTGGCTGACTTATTCCTGTAGGTCCCTCCAGGCAATTGACTTTATATCTCATGGTTTTCAGGGAAGAAATAAGCCAATTTAAGTACTGAACATGAATATGAGAAGATTCAGTTAAGTTAGGCAGAGGAAGTGATTTCAGACCCAAATTCACAGCCCTGCCAAATAGAAATTCAAATGATTGCTTGCAAGAGTAACTCTTTAAAAAAATTTTTCTTTCTTTTTAAAAATTTATTTAATTGTTGTTCAAGTACAGTTTTCTGTCTTTTACTCCCATCCCAGCCCACACCCCAGTCCTCCCCACCTCCCTCCCATTCCCCCCCCTTAGTTATTGTCCATGTGTCCTTTAAACTAGTTCCTGTAAATCCTTGTCCTTTTCCCCTGACATTCCCTCCCCTCTCCCCTCTGGTCACTGTCTGCTTATTTTCTATTTCAGTGTCTTTGGTTATATTTTGCTTGCTTGTTTGTTTTGTTGTTTAGCTTCTTGTTAAAGGTGAGATCATATGGTATTTGTCTTTCACCCCCTGGCTTATTTCACTCAGCATAATGCTTTCCAGTTCCATCCATGCTGTTGAAAAGGGTAGGACCTCCTTTTTTATCTCTGCTGCATAGAATTCCATTGTGTATATGTACCATAGTTTTTGGATCCATGCACTTACTGATGGTCACCTAGGTTGCTTCCAACTCTTGGCTATTGTAAACTGTGTTGCTATGAACATTGGGGTGTATAGGTTCTTTTGGATTGGTGTTTCAGAGTTCTTAGGATATAATCTTAGCAGTGGAATTGCTGGGTCAAAAGGCAGATTCATTTTTAGTTTTCTGAGGAAATTCCACAGTGGTTGTACCAGTCTGCAATCCCACCAACAATGGATTAGCGTCCCTTCTTCTCCAAAACCTCTCCAACACTTGTTTGTTGCTCTGTTTATGATGGCCATTCTGATTGATGTCAAGTGGTATCTCATTGTGGTTTTAATTTGCATCTCTCTGATAGCTAGTGATATTGAGCATCTTTTCATGTGTCTCTGGATCTTCTGTATGTCCTCCTTGGAGAAATGTCTGTTCAAGTCTTTTGACCACAATTGGTTTGCTTGTCTCAGAGTGGGGTCTTGTGAGTTCTTTATATATTTTGGACATTAAACTTTTGTCTGAGGTATCAATGACAAATATGTTTTCCCATATAGTTGGTTGGTTGTTGGTTGTCTTTTTAATTTAATACTGTTTTCTTTTTTTTTTTTAAGATTTTATTTATTTATCTTTAGAGGGGAAGGGAAGGAGAGAGGGAGAGAAACATCAGTGTATGGTTGCCTTTTGTGCCTCCCCTGCTGGGAACTGACCTGCAGGGAACTGGCCTGCAACCCAGGCATGTGCCCTGACTGGGAATCGAACCGCGATCATCTGGTTCGCAGGCCTGCGCTCAATCCACTGAGCTATACCAGCCAGGGCTGTTTTCTTTAACCATGCAAAAGCTTTTAATTTTGATGAGATCCCATTTGTTTATTCTTTCCTTTATATTCCTTGCTCTAGGGGACATATCAGTAAATATGCTGCTGCGTGAAATATCTGAGATTTTCTTGCCGATGTTCTCCTCTAGGACTTTAATTGTGTGATGGCTTATATTTAAGTCTTTTATCCACCTTGAATTTATTTTGGTGTATGGTGTAAGTTGGTGCTCAAGTTTCTTTTTTGTTTGTTTTACACGTAACTGTGTATTTCTCCCAACGCCATTTGTTGAAGAGGCTTTTTTTAGTCCATTTTATGTTATTGCCCCCTTGTCAAATATTAATTGACCATAGAGACTTGGATTTACATACCTTTTAAAGAGGCAGAACTAGCATTTATAATCTCAAGTTTTCTGAAGGAAATGCTAAAATAAAAGTGGGAGGAGGTAAGTACATTTTTGGCATTAGAGAAAATTTTAAATTGATTTCTTCAGATTTTTATTTACCCTTACACTGGCAAAGAAAAACTGAGGTTACAGTCCCAGAGGACCTATAACACATAATAAATTACCAGACAGGGAATAAGAAAAGGCCTTAGTAACTGGATCTCTAGAATATGAGGTGAGCACTAGTTCTCAGGTGTTAAAAACAAGACGACAAAATGGAGTTACTTGTGCTAAGCCTTGCGTCACCAAACCAAGACTTAATTACAGTTTTGGCTTTCTGTGAATGGAATTTTAAACTTTCCAAACAGTAATAGCCTGATCAGTACTAGTTAGGTAATCTTCCTGATAGGCCCGTACTATCTCCTAAAGGAAAGTAACCTTACCATAACCAATCTGCTTTTATGCCTGGTATAACTCCCTTGTTCCTCCTTCCTTCTGCCTATAGAAGTTTTCCTTTTTTTTTTTTTTTTACACTTCTTGGAGCTCCTTTCTTTTCTTTTTTTAAATTTAACTATTATTCAAATACAGTTTTCTGTCTTTTACATGCTTGCTTCGGCAGCACATATACTAAAATTGGAATGATACAGAGAAGATTAGTATGGCCCCTGTGCAAGGAGCTCCTTTCTATCTGCTAGATTGAATGCTGCCCTATTCAAATTGATTTTTCCTTATATAAACACAATTTTTAACATGCCTCACTTTATTTTTTAACACAGCAAAGGGGCAATGCCCCATTATAACTGAGGCATAAGGTCAGGGTTGGAGTAGCAAGAAGGATTTGATGCTGTGTTTGACATACGTAGGTTAGAGCTGCTTGAATACTTCTGATTTGTGTGGCTTCTAGACTACAGGTCAGGGATCAGCCTGCAGATAATCCAAAAGCAATTCGAGTCTAGATACAAGGACATTAAAAGTTACAGAGAAAGCCCTGGCTGGTGTAGCTCAGTGGATTGAGCGCAGGCCTGCAAACCAGAGGATCGTGGTTCAATTCCCAGTCAGGGCATATTCCTGGGTTGTAGACTGGTTCCCTGCAGGCCAGTTCCCAGAAGGGGATGCACGAAAGGCAACCATACATTGATGTTTCTCTCCCTCTCTCCTTCCCCTCTAAAGATAAATAAATAAATAAAATCTTTAAAAAAAGTTACAGAGAGATAGACTTATATACAAAAGCCTTTTTGTTTTCTTACAACCATATTAAAATTATTCCTTTTACCCAGGTTAACAAAATATATCTGAAGGAAAACTAAGCATTTGGTTTAATAAAAACAATACTTTTTAAAGTAGAATATAATTTTTTAAGGAAATAATATTGCTAATGGTCACATATGGATCAATTTACTACACTGGAACAACAAAATCTTAGAGGATATTTATGCTCAAGTAAGTCATTTATTTTCACTATAGTAAAGGTGCTTGAACTCATCCCTAAGATCAAGATTTAAAACCATTTTAATAGATAAGACTTTGTATTTCATAGCCACTTCTGTAAAGAGGTGCTTTTCCTTCACCCAAAGGTCAAAGCTTGTAAGAAGTTTGACAACATTTACTTTTTTCTCATTATGCCTTCTATTCAAAATAATATTATTATTAGTAATATAGTTTATATCTTGTCTGACCTGGATGATGCAGTCCAAGAAGTGTAGTTTGAGAAGACAAACCTTACATTCATTGAGAAAGGGATGATTTTCTGGGTGCAAGCCACATACCATGACTCACTTCCCCTAGTTACATAAATAGAGGGCTCAGAGTTCCTTGGTCTTCAGTGAACTGGGGTAAAGAATGAAAGGGATGGTGAGAAGGATGTGTATTTACAAATGAAGTATTCTGCTGAGGTGGAGCAGGTCCTGGAGGAAGATATTTCATATAAGGTGCCATCTGAGCAATAATATGCCTATGAAGAGGGTGGTAGAATAGAAAGCATTGGTGGACCTGAAGCCTGTTTATGAATCAAGTGAGAAACATCCACAGCCTGGGGAGGATGTGGGATTTGATGGCTTGTTGTAAATGGAGAAGATAATATGGTACAGAATGCTGTTCTGGAGACATAACATGATGAGAGTTCAATATTGCTGGTTGGCTCTGATATTCAGAATGATGGTGAACAGATGTAGAGGAAGGCAGTGATGGTGCTTGCCTGAATTTGAGTGATTCTAAATAGGGAGTTATTCAATTGCTGTTTTCTTGTTGAAACAGTTTTTCTGATCACAAAAGGAGGTAGAGGTGAGGCCAAGGACAATAAATTTGGGCAGATGAGCACTCATGTCTTCTTATGGCTGATTGTAGGACTCTGGCACATGTTGCAAAGGAGGTGGTAGTATAGTATAACGTACTACTTTGGTGGAATACAGTTCATTTCTGTTGTCATTATGAAATGATCAGAGATTTCCTTTGGTGGTAGGGCAATGTGCAGAACAAACATTTTTTCTTTCTGTTTTTAACAAGTGTTTTTAAAAAAGAAATAGGCAAAGCCAGCTTTCTTTTCAGAATCAAAACACAGATCAAATGGAAACATTTTGGTATTTAACCTTCACAAGTTTGAGCCTCCACAAACAGTGCAACGAAGTTTTACAGTTTCAACAGCCCTTCTACATATGCTCCACCTTCTTCTCTATCTTGGTTCCAAGTTTTATCTCCCAGAATGAACATTTTCAACTTAAATATAGACAACAAGATTTTAAACTCTCATATGGTGTAAATTGATATGAGCATCCAAGTTTCTCTGAGATAAATAGGTTCTCTTACCTTTTTTAACACTGCAACACATGAAGAGAGAACCTTGTGTGTGTACCTCAATTTGCTCCACAGGATTATCACAGCATGGACACACCCTATCACCTTCTTTTCTATAGAAAACAGCACACCTACAGCAAAAAGCGTGCTTGCATGGAATCATCTACCCATAGATTTTAATGGATGAGTTGCATTCTTCACAGAAACGAATTGGTGTATCACCCTTTTTACCTAGGATGTTGGTCTTAAAGTCCCAAAGAAGATTTTGAGGAGATATTTGATCATATCTAAACAATTTCCCCCCTGCAGAGCTGTAATATTCTTCTTTTCTGGAATGAAGTCCTTTGTTGGCTCACTCCATGATTCGACTTGCAGGGTACACTGGGAACAGAGGTGAACCTCACTGACTCAGGGAGTGAGCATATGCATCCTATCTATGCTGTGGGCCCCAGGAGGTGTAAGTGAGCTTGTGTTACCCCAGATTTGATGTATTCTTATCTAGCCCCATTGCAGCGAGTGCATCAGGCAGGAGAAAGAGCAAGCAAATGAAGAGTTTCAGTGTTGAGATGGCTTAGGCTGCTCTTACACTGCAAAGAAAAGTAGCCTTTAACAGGAAAGAGACTGATCCAGAATGGGCTGTGGGGAAAGAGGATGCAGAGGCACTAGTACCTAAAATCATAAGCTCTAGTCAGGTAAGGCAGCCATCTTGGTTTTGAAGGATTTTTCTTTTAGACATGATATTTTTATTTTTTATTATAAGGTTTTGGAAAATATGATTTCACAAAACATATGAAGTTACAAATACAGATGAGGCAAGATGGCGACGGAGTAGGACGGAGCAGAATCCAGTTCCTTGTACACAAGGGAGAGAAACCTGTGGGCAGAGGAGAAGCCAGCAAGCCAGCAGTTGCCCAGCATATATTAAAATAAGGGACCAGAAATCTCCATGGTCACAGAGGAACCAGACAGTAGGTAGACAATAGTGGTACAGTAGAGTCTCGGGGATGGAGCAAAGAGAGGAACAGCAGGGAATCTGGGGAGTGCGCAGTCCGGGGACTAGTGCTTGGTGCACGGCACCCCTTGATGAGCGCCCAGCATTCTGGTCCAGTGACCCTGCGCAAACCCCTATTTTGGATTCGTCTGGAGGCTGCAGCCTCCCAAAACAAAGTCAGGAGCTGAAGAGATTTCGGCTGGTGCATGGTTGGGGGGCCAGCGCTGATTGCCGGGCATGCTTGCGCCAGTGCCCTGAGCTGCTCCCTCCCTAGGATTTTTCGGCCGGGTCTGCCAAGGGACCCAAATAAAGACAGGAGCAGAAGAAATTTCGGCCGGTCCACAGTTCAGAGGATCAGTACACAACCTGCAGCGTGCCTTGATGGGCGAGCGCACCGCTGGAGCACAAATTTTCGTTGGCGCCTAGCCCTCAGATCGGCTCCCAGCTTTCAGTTCATTTCCCTCGGACTATCTGGAAGCGATGGGCCTGCCTAGGGGTTCTGGGGAAAGAGCTGAGATCCTCAACTCCCTCCCTTTCTGGCCAAGCAAGGTTGGGTGCCAGGAGAGACTTGTTTGCTAGAGTTTATAGAGAGGGTGCTGAGGACTCTGTGCTTGCCAGCCCTGGAGATCTGATAGGTACAGTGTGGGGACCTGAATCCAATAGACACAACTGCCTGGTAGGCACCACACCCAAGCTGGCAGCAAACCCAAGGTTGGGCAGAGGGCCTGGAGCTTCCCCACAGAACGGAGCAGGTCTGTGCTCTGTGCTTGATGCATTGGGAACCAGGCAACTTGGCCAGCACAAGCACCTGCACGCACCCTGCAACACAACTAACAGTGGTAACACCTGGGAAAAGAGCGCTGAGAGGAAGTACTAGTTCCCCAATGTAGGGAGATGGGGAGAGGTGCCAAGTGTCTGGCTCCTGAGAGGGGCTGGCTGAAAAAATCACAACAATCGACCCTCAGCCAACTGTAGCCAGAAAAACTGGTTTGGCCAGTTTGAAACCAAAAAGCAAAGTCCCCCCCCCCCCTTTTTTTTTGTTTTCTTTCTCTCTTTTCTTTTTTTTAAATTTTAGTTTACTTTATTTTATTTTTTTATTCTTTTTTTAACTTTTCTTTCTTTTTCCTTTCCCTTTTTTATCTTTTTGCTTTTTTAAAGTAATCTGTTATTTCTTTTGAAGTTTATTGTTTTATCTTCGGATACTTTTGTCCTCCTTTTTGGATTTTCTGTTTTATTCCTTCTTCATTTCTTTCCAAACTTATCGCTCTTTCCTCCATTCCACTACCTTCCTTTTTTCTTCCTTTTATCTCTTTCCTTGTCTTTTCTTTCTTTTACACACAAGAGACAAAAACAAATTCAAAATATGAAAAAGCTAGAGCTGGACCAATAGAAGACGCCTCCGAATAGTAGAGTCAGAGAGACAAATTGCACTTCGCTGCAGGAAAGAAGCCACAAGTTGCTGCATATTTGAGTAGGAGGAAGCAGAGAATGACAGGATAACTGAAAGAGACTGCACCACTGAATTTCACAAGCATTCCACCACAAAAGATCACACCATTAACCCATGGAGTCAAAACAGATCAATCTAAGAAGTTGAGGCTAACAAGAAGAGTCTCACAAACAATAGGAAGACAAAGAAACAATCCCCAAATAAAAGGGAAGGAGCAACCCTCAGAAAGAATATTAGATGAAATAGAGGCAAGTCAACTATCAGATACTGAATTCAAAGCACTGGTTATCACGAAGTTCAAAGAGCTCACAATGAGCTACCAGAAACTACAGGGGAGCTGCAACAATCTCAACGCAAACTATATCAACATGAAAAAGAAAATGGAAACCATTACCAAGGGCCAAGAGGAAATGAAGAATACAATTTCTGAATTGAAGAACACAGTTGAAAGTATTAAAAATAGAGTTAATCAGATATAA